TTTATCATAAATAAATCGATTCTTTTACTTAATCATAATATCAAATTTCTTTGGATTTCGTTATTTTCCAATTTAAACGCAGAATTTTTCATTCAAACGGCCAAATATTTCAATTATTGGAAATAAGTCCATTTACAAGGAAGAAAAAGTATGAGATAAAGTTATCTCGACAATATTTATAGCTTTCAAATAACGATTGATTTTCAATCGTGCATTATATTTTTGTTTTTCTTATCTTACATGGAATTTGTCATTACTTTGCTCAGAAAAAGAATTCAATTATTATAAAGTATACGTTATATAATCTTTTCATAAATATCTCCATAATTATCGAGCTATCAGAAGATGACAAACATGACGCACGAATGATAAAAATAAGAAAAAAAATGATATTTTATCTCTACAAACGTAAGATTTCTTCATTTTTTTCGTTGTTTACAATAAAAGAACGTTAATGTAATTATTATGGGAAATCTTTTATTTTTAGAAAACAATTCAGTTTTAAATTCAGAACATTTTATATCATTTTATTGCCATTCTAAAAGAAAATTGTTGCTATAATAACGCTGTATAGATAGATTCATTATATATGAATTTTGCTTTCAATTTCAGTTTATACTAGCAAATTAAATCGTACATGTACAAGCTTAAATTGTAGAAGTTACTTTTAAGTACATTTTCATAATAAAATAATACGTTAAAGTTAAAGAACGGCGAATTCTTATATTAAACGAGCAAATATTTATTGTTACCATCACAGGGCATGGCTGCAATTTTTAATCATATTTTTAATTTATTTCATTTTAAATATATGCTCTCCACCTCAAATTAGTAGTGGCTTGCTCCTGTACATAAAAAAATACATTTTTAACACTTCTCTTGGCTTTTATTTATATTCACTTGCTTTTGCGTGTTAAGAGATTTCACTACTGAGAGGAGTCCGAGTTCGAATCTATTTCTTAAATGTAATTATTCAAATTAATACCATGAAAGATGTAAAAATTCATATGAAAATATAAACATCTTTACATAATAAAACGTCTTGTTTGATAGCACAGTTTTGCATTAATTAATAAGTTTATGATCAACGCTTTAAACACGCGATATACGAAAAAACCTATATTGGTCAATATTAGTAAAAAAATTAAGAAGGCAATCGGTCACTTTTATTCACTTTCATTTTCAGGAAGTACATTACGACAACATTGACCTTTCTTTTTAGGCTACTTGTCTTTCGAACAGTGATAAAAATTCTTTTTTTTAAAAAAAGCATGAAGATATTCTCTTAGAAATTTTAAAATATGTTTTTTAAAAAAGGGAAACAAAATGTATGTTGATGTTCTTCTTCGAGCCTCAGAAACACACTTCTTAAACTTTTTATTTAATTAGAAAATCGGATAAAAAGTTTGCTAACGAAGTAAAAGTTATCGATTTAATTAATCAAACACTGCCAATAACTTATCTACTTAAAACTTTCGGTTGAAAAAATTATGTCTAATTAATAATAAGTTGTTATCATTATAGTTATATAACGCTGTGTACAGATTTGTATAATGTTTAATTAGTCTAATTAATGTTTAAGTAACTAGAATTCATATAATTATTTAATTAGTTTCAATAAATTTTGTTTATTGTTATTTAGTCATCGAACTATTCAACTCAAATAATATCATTTTAATTATAAAATAAATATTGTATTATAAGTGTGGATTTTATGTTTTGTTTATTTGCCAAATAGTTCATAGAACGCATAAAAACAATTCGTGGGTCGCGGGTTAATGAGTTTTGCCCGTAATTAATGGGAATTCAGCCGAGAAAGAAAAACCAGACGGATCGATTTAATTGGGTTGGACGTATTATGTGAAACATCAAGTCTTAATTTGGATTCATTACAATAAATTTAGATCTTAATAAGACTCCGCCATTACTGAGAGATAAGGAATGAAGTTCATACGAAAAATTAAGAGAATTTATCTACGATGATCCACTATATCCACTAGATGTCCACTATAAAGTACCTACACATTCAGCAGATGGATTAATTTTCTTCATAGATATTTACATATTAATCGTTTAGATATTCCATTGCTACTACTGTATTAGTAACATCTTTTTATTTTATTTAAAAAAATAAAAAGAAGAAAATATATTTTCGAACAATTTACAAAAAAAAAGGAATGTTTTTATTTCGACGTTATCTCGATTATATTGTTGGATAGATTATTGTTGCTAGACAACGGATAGGCTTGAATCGGTGACAAGTGAAAAACCAACAATTCTTTTTTTTCCCTTCTTCTTCTGCTTGTGATATAGAGATTATGACCATTGCCTCTTTTGATTACGAACCGTATGTTGTTGCTTTCTCACATAATCCGTAGTGGGTTAGCAAGAAAATAGAAGAAAGAAAGAGAAAAACAGTTACAGAAAATTTTCATACATTCTTTTCATATAACGTTTATTAACAATTTATGAATTCTTAATGTCGTGCATATATTAAAACTGTTTACCTTTAATCAGTAACACAAAATTATACATTTAGAACAATTTTCTGTGTAATTATACATAAAATTGCTTTGGTTATGCGAGCAATTCTAGCAGATGGCGTTAAAAATGTAATGCTTTTTCTATGGGAAAAAGATTTTTCCGTAGAACCGAAAATTCTCTAAAATGGAAGCAAATCGGATCAATCAGTCTTTGATCAGATCAATCCGATTTAATTCTTCTATTAACGTTCGGTTCCGAATTTTGAAAATCGAATTCGTTAATTTTGTATGAATTTTATGCGAATTTTAAAATATTCGTTAATAAAACTGTTAAAAAAAAAATAAATTATTGTTAATTTCTGAAGAAATTCAATAGAAAGAGATGCGTTTAAATGTATTTCTGTGAAATACTGTAAATGTTGAAAGTTTTGTAAATTAAATTTTACCGCCATCTATTGGCAATAAATAAAATTAACTAAATTATTTATTTAATAATATTGAATGTTTTTTTAAAATTAATATATTATTAACTTAAAATAAAAAAAGTTTAGGTAATCATATAACATATTATTACTTAAAAGTTCAATAAGTTTAATAATTTTTATACTAAACATTTTTAAATACGTTACATTAAAGTTGCTTTAATGTAAATTTTGTTGATAATAATTTATTATTTAAACTTCATTATAAATAAAAATTTAAAATAAACGTTAATTTTGATTTTTTTCGGATTTATGATAAATTAAAAAAAATAATAATAATAATTAAAATTTTGATTAGTTACATATTTAACCGAAAGATGGCGATATAAATTAAATAGAAAATTTATAAATATAAAATTTAGTACAGAACAGAAACTGTCTTTAATTACAAAACGAAAGGTAAAATGTAAACACTTGTATTATGGCTTGAAAAATATTTTTAGGGAAATGTCAGCGACTTGATGTCACAACGATGGCAGCCCCGGAAAATTTGTTTTCTTGCAAAAAACATTAAATATTTTTCACTCCATACATTAAAAAGCAACCTTAAATCCTAGTCCTCATGTCGACAATCATTTTCATCAATTATCTGATGAACAAGACTAATTAATCATTGGACTAGAGCAAGCAAGAAGCGTTATGAGGTAACCCTCCATAACCACTCAGCCACCGGGACAATATAACAATCCCTCTTAAAAGCTATTTGATTTGTAACATGGCTAGTGACAAAATGTCCTATAAACGAAATAAATGTTTGTTAGGGGGGTTTAAAACTCAAAAAATTATATATATATATAGGGAAGAAAACTTCAATTTTTCCTTCCTTATATTTCATTTTTCTAGTCTTTTTTTTTTTAAAAAAAAATTATCATTAGTTGGCATTTAGGGCCTTCGGATATCTTAAGCCACTAATGGACATTGCTGTTAGATATTAAGTTATTAATATTCGCATTAGTGGAAAAATAAATAAATAAATTATTTTAATCGTTTATTTTATATATTTAAATTTGAATTTTTTCAATATTTCTATTATGATTATTATTTTGTTTTTTTAAATCGAAGATATTTTTCCAACGTATTGAAAGATCGCGATCTACACGTGAATCTATATCTATATATATATATCTATTATCGATATTTTTTTTAATATTTGAATTGAACACGATAAAAATCCATCATATTGACGAATATAAAATATTTTAAAGCATTCGCTAACAATATAAATGATTTTGTTACGATATTTATAAATGGTTCGTGCAAAGATTCAAATTTTGTATTGATTTGACGTCAATCTTACGTAAGATATCGGTACTTCGATCTTATTGGGTGTGTGAAGATTATGCCACGGTTGGTTAACTACGTCACGGAATACGAATATTTACAGATAAATTAACCTTGATTTACGCATTGAGTTTACATAACCGGTATTCCGCTAATATTTGTTGTAAACCGCGAAGAAAATGTAACGGTTCAAGTATTTTACCACACCTTTAGTGGTCAAGGTCTTGTACAGTACTTATTTATTCCCGCAGGAAAAAAAAATAATCATCAAAATATTTATGCAGAAGATATTAAATATGAAAATTATAGATATGTTTTTCATTAAATATAAACAAATCTCTATTTAATAAAATCTTTCCAATGTTACATTTTTCTTTTTCTTACTTATGAATAAAATATTAATTTCCTAGAAATGAAGATAAATTTATCTAGTTTATACAGTACTTTACATAAGTCATTACAAAACATATATTTTGAATTTATTTCTAAGATTATATCTACTTTAAATATAAGAAGTTTATATATTACTTAAGATTATTGTTATTACTATGTTTTCATTTTCATACTGCAAAAAATCATAAACAGATCATTTTCAAAATTAATTTTTGTTCTTTCTTTCTTTCCCCCTTAAACGTGAGAAGCAAAATTTTTATTAAAATATATTAAAATCTCTACTTAATTTAAACTTTATTTAGAAATTGTATACGCAAATTTATAATTTTAAAATTAAATTCTCAAACATTTAATATTTTAAATATTTTATATGATAACGAAAACATATTTGATAGAATTTTTAATTTATCTTTGTAATTCAGCACTCAAATATACGATTTAACTGATAGATTATATATAAAAATCTCAAACAAGAATAAATAACCGCTTAAATCTAACGTCCTCGGGCTTCATTGTTTAATTTTTTTTTAATTTTTTATATGCATTTCTTTAATACAATTGAAATACTTTCTATGAAAGTAATTTTAAAAACTGAATTCAAATTTATTTTATAAGTTTTATATAGTTAAATTTAAAGCGAAAGGTCTATAAATTTTGAAAGTTTTAGAATTCGAAAACAATTTGGATTAGGAAAAAATTGTTTATTTACCACAATTTTAATAAACAAAGAAATTTACATCACTGTACACGGGAAGAGTTCACGCGATGTTTGAAATCGATGTCACAAGGCACGAATCAGCCAATGGCAGATGAGAATTTTTGTTTTAAATTTATTTTCATCATAAATTTATATTCAAGTTTTAAATACTATTTTTAGCAAATATGTTAAACTGATTGTCTAACCGTCTAAACTGTATTTCGTAACTATTGTAATATTTAAAGATGTCAGCGCGTGATCAGGAACAATTATGTTATTGGACGAGAGTGTAATCTTTGTAAATTGTATTCGGACTCTCATTGGCTACGGGAGATGACGTCATAACGCTCCATTTAAACTATATTTTTTTTTATAAGGCTACACATCGTTTGGTCCTTTCACTATATTTTGGCAGCTTTTTACGAGCAAATAATATCTAAAACGGGACAAGACAACATACAAATTTTTTATACTCTCATAAATAATTGACTTGACAAACTAAATCACAACACTGATCTCACGTTCACGAACAAGAAAAACAGATAAAATTAAGAATAGAAGTGAGAATTGAGGACAAGACGACTTCCGGGGGCTTCTGCATAACTGTGTCTATATGATCTTCCCTCTGCTTGTAAATCGTGATACGGATTTCTGACCAACCCTTCCGAACGTTTTAAACGATCCTGGTTATGATTAGTCCTAGTTTTTGGCGACAAACGATCGCGTGGACGTTCTCTACTTTCTTGATTTGGATATTCATTGCTACTCTGAAAAGTATCATCGACATTTGGGTAAGAAAGTGGTCTTTGATCTCTCACTCTTCCACCTTCGACTGGATTACTCAATCTGCGATATACTAATTCCTTTTTAGGTTCCCGAAAATCTTTCCATTTTTTATCGCAGTAAGGATCATAGCTATCTCTTCGATGGAGTCGAATTTGGCCCTCCTGAAGGTATCTCTGTTCAGGAGGAGTCCTTCTAACATAATATCTAGGATCGCTTCCGTGCCTGTTGGTATAATAAGACAGTTCCGGTGATGCTGAACGGATACGAGGTCTCGGTGTTCTCTTCCAATCGTATATTTCGTCTGGCGGTGTCCAATCGTCGCTACTAGAATCTGAATCGGGATGAGATTCGTGGATGGCAGAACTCAATGCTTCGTCAGAACCAAAACCGCTTGATTTGCTGGTCGATTTACAACTGGATTCACCTCCCGGTTCAGTACTTACAACATTAAACCTTGAATTTTTTCCAATAATATTTGTGGCAGTGCTTTTTCTATCTTCGATTCCTGATAATCTACCTTGATTTCTGGAAATTGTATCATAATCGCGTGGTGGTAAAAGAATAGGACAAGTATTTGGATTATTAAGTCTCTCTCTTAACTCGGCAGCCAAAGAATCGTATAGACTGGAAACTCTATCCTTTCGTACCGGAGGCGATTCTGATCCACAAGAATCTTCTGACAGTCCATCTGATGAACATCGTCTGGTTACATTTTGAGGAAGAAGTCCTTTAGCATCTAACCTACATTCTATTTCTCTTAACTTCTTTTGATTTTCGGGTCTATCGACTAATTGCTGTAATTGTCCACGAAGAGTAGTTGCAGTTTGAACGGAATCGCATCGATAGGCGTGAACGTGAACGGGACATCTTGTTAGAGGATTGAAAAGTAATAATATGCAGCACACAATATCATCGTTAGGCTTCAATTCCTGACTAACACACGTTAGAGCGTGATGAGGTATGAAATGTTTAATCTGCTCAGTTTTAGTGCGACTCCCTTTTCTTGTAACGTTTTGAATTATTTTCATTCCCTTATTGCTCACTTGTAAAGTAACCTTTACTGGTTCTAATTCTCGTTCTCTTTCCAATAATGATTTTAGAACAGGTTTAATATATTCATCCCCTCTTAGACCTCTGCTTTCTTTAGCACCCAAAAACCACACGTAATAAGACTGTTTGTGAACTTCGTTTCTTCTTCCTGTATGAAAGGCCATTTTGTTTAATTCTTGTTAGTCACATGAGATTGAACAAACAACCTGTTGATGAGTATGAGGCCTAACTCGTCTACAGTTGTAGAATGTTCCTCCAAGCGTCCAATTAGATTTTACAGGTTGTGTTACCTTTACTTGTAAAACCTGTTAAGGAAAAAATTATCTTTATTCAATTATTATACTTAATATTTATACTTTATCTCTTCCTTATTAAAATCATTGCATTTGTCTAATAGTAATCTCACTATAAAGTAACAAAATTTTTCATAAAATTTCACTATTAATTTTAACAAATATTAAATTATTAAAATATAAAATAGCGATTCTTTATTTAAGAGCTCGCATTATTCTTTTAACATAATTGATATTTATATTAATTAGTTATATTAACCATACTAAAATTATAACTCAAAGAACAAGAAAGCATCTCAAAGATGAATATTTACAACAAATAGATAATTTCGTGAAATAAAAGAATAAATAATAAAAATTTTGCATTATATCTGATCTCAAAATCTACGTTGATAAAATAAGCATTTAAATTTTATATATAATAAATAAACTGAATTTTCCATAAAATTCTTAGATGTATGCACATTCATCGTTCTCTTGCGTGAAGGATCATTAAGTGTTATCTAGATTTGTTTTCCTGAATAGAATAAAGAAAACAGGTGCGGCGATTCGTACATAAAATTTACAAAAATTCAAACATGCAAATATATTCTAAAAATAACCTATTCAAATTACTGTGCATCGATATTTTGCGAACTTCGACCGATTATTGACTAGTTCTTCCAGGAAAGGAAGGAAGGATGAGTTTGATCGATACCCCTAACAGTTCCCAGAATGCATCTTGTCCATCAACCTCTTCCCAGACTCCATTTACATGTGATAAATAAAACAAATAAAAATCTTGTTTTAGATCGTACGAATTTAAATATTCCCAAAAATAATTTTTAATGATGCGCACGATATTCTAAGCATACAGTATATAGTTTTTTTTTTTCTCTGGATTTTTTTCCACGAAGGTAGGATCTCTCTGTCTTTTCAGTTCTTATCTCGAGCGCATGATAAACATCACAGCGCCCTCAACCGGTTTTTAATGTCACGTGAAGCAGCGTCCTTGGAAACGACCTTTACAATAAAGAAAATCAACCAATAGAAACTGTGTATTTTTCTTAAATTTTCAATTTTAATTTACATAATTCGAAACGAGAAAAAAAATTTACGTAATACTTATTACGTATAATTAAATCTACGTTCGATACGAGAGAATCTTTATACGGAACTGTGAGATCCCTCTCACGCACGAGCTGAGTAAGATGAAGAGCGCATGCTCACACGTTATAATTAATTGGCTCTCGTGGGGATTTGGATAGAGCGCCCGTTCCCGAGACAAATTAGGCTTAGGAACCGATGGCGGCACTTCAGCTCACACAATAACAAAAGATACCGACAGGGGCACCATGACGTCATCTTCGATGTAGGGAACATCTGTAGTGTTTTTAATGTTATAACGGTTTCATCCGTTATATAAACATTTCATTTAAGCAATATCAGAAATATATAATGTAATTATTTTAAAAGCTCTTACAAATTTTATAATATTCTAAGAATAAATATTTGCAAAATTGAAACAAAAAAAAAAAAAACAGGCAGCGTTTCAATTCGACTGTGAATAATTCATTACATAAAAGTTCTTTTTCTTACTACATTTTTTTAAAGAAGAAATTAACCTACTGCTCTTCAAAATTTAGCAAATTAAAAAAAATCTAACTTAAATAATTTTATTTATAAACTTATATCGAGTACAATATACAAGCGCTGTTACAATCACAATGATTTTTGCCAATTGTCATGTATGCGCTATCGCGTAACGCTTATTCATGCGATAAATTTGTAAACAAACGGCATATAAATCGATTAACTGTTGATTTCATGCAAATATACACAATCCGTACGTAAAACAAAAAGAATTTAATGTAACAGATATATTTATTTAGGAAGAATCATCGCCAGCCATTATAAATTGTCAACAGCAACAGCACAACATTTAAAATAAACACGATTTTCAATCACTCGTAACAATTATTAGTTACGTTAATGTTTACTACTAAAAGAATATTTATGAAGTTTATAATCATTTATAATATAAGAGAAGAAGTACAGTACTTACATTTCGTTGTCTCAGTGTCGTTCGTCAATGCTGCGTCCAGGGTCTTTGCCCGTCTTCAGCGACGAACTGATGGGTTCCCATCACACATGCGCACACTCGTTTGGTATCGTTTAACCGGTCAATTTTTGTATAAACAATCTTCTTTGCAGTCAATTCATAGAATATTCTCACGATTTTTTTTTCTACTTCAGTTCTGTGCCTTCTATATAGGTTCTATATGCCTATCTGATCTAAATATTTCTTCGATTAAAGACGTATCTAATGGAGTAAAGTAGGAAATAATCTTCGAATATACAGATTTATAAATACGTTTTTTTTTCTTCTTTGCATTGATCCTTAGTCGGATTAAACTCACATTAAGATAGCGAATTATATTTTGCTCTGTTGCAAAGCGAATATCTTTCATTAACTTTAACGAAATGCCGTGAAAATTTATGTAAGGAAATAGTTTAAATATTTACATATTTACATTTTCCGAAACAAGTAGCTAATATTATCTTATATGAAAAGAATTGCGGATTAATAAATTCATTAAATTTAACCGGTAATATTTGATAATATTCTTAAATCCATGCTACATTCGTAGATATTTATTTATGAATATTTTGATATCGGATATTTTAGTAATTTTGAATCATTTTTATTTATTTTTTTTCGACGATAAATATATATTTAAATACAAGCAATAATGAAATATATATATTTTAACCTAAATTTCTGATGATGTTACGTCACAATGACGTCAAATTTGAGTCGAACAGGGTGTGTCCATTCAATAAGGTGAACGAGAACAACAAAGTAATCCCGGAAGATTAGTTGTTCCAGAACTACTGACCTAATTACTTTGCTACTGTCAACTACTGATCGAAAGAAGATAAAAGTTCATCTCAATGTCAACCAATATACAGATATACATTATTATTTTTAAAGACATAGAAAAATTACAAAACGTGATTTTTGCTATATTACCTAATAAACAAATTTTCAAAAGCTGAATTTGCTTTTTAAGGTAATAGTTTACACTTATTTTAAATTATTGACATAATCTATTCTTTCTACTTAATATATTTATTTCAAAATGCACATTGTAATGAACTAACATAATTTAAAATAATAAATTTCACGTAATAATCTTCAGAATAATTTTTAAAATGTATAGCTTTCTTTCAATGATAAAAAGTAAATTATATAATAAAAAATTTACTTTATTTTATCAGCATTTATTTTCAAAATCAACAAAAGTTTAATCTCAAATCAACCAGAAAATCAGATATAACTTCGGGTCATTCCAGCATTTTGCGCTAAATTGAAAGTGTGTTACTGTGACAATAAGAAATTATTTGGATTATATATTTTAAAACCGTTCAATATGTTTTGTGTCAATACATAGCTCTAAAATCCCATAAAAAAAATTACTATCCAGGCGTTTATAGTTGTATCCTAGCCAAAATCTTAAATTCGATAGTTTCGCCCAAATCCGCCCTAGTGACTCATTTCAACATCTGTTAATTTTTATAATTATTTATATAATAATTATTATTATAATTTTTATAATAATGTAAATAATAAACTAATAAATTAATAAATATTTTTAGATCATAATTATTTAAAATAATATATATGTATAGTAGATATGTATGTGTATGTATTGTTTTAATAAATTAAACATGTGCTTTTATTTGACAATTTTATTGCTAAAAATATTCGTATTGATTTTAAGAAGAAATGTTTTATGAATCACTACATGACTCACGAGTTGAAGTAAATTCTCTGAGTCAATTTTTGCTTCTAATGTCAAAAAAATTTTATTTACCTTTACAAGTTATTTATTATTTTATTTTTTAAAATTTTTATTAAATTTTTTACATCGAATTGTTTTTAAAAATTTAATTATATACACTGTTTCTAGGAAACTAATTTATCGATGTAAATAAAATACTGATTTAAAAAAAAGTTTTCTATTGACCTCTTATAGCCTATTAATCAATGTCAATGTAATAATAAGCTACTTGGTATTTGTTTGTTGATCTATTTTGTAATACTTGTCGCATTTAATAACAATAATTATTATCGTTTTAATGATATAATTAAATTTACTCTATAAATCTTGAAAATATTTAAGACAATTTTAACATTATTAATCTTATTTAAAATATGTTGAAAAATCTTTAGCTATTATTATTAATTATAGGCATTTATATTCTGTTTAAATTTGATAAAATATGTATATAAAAAATTTATATACTTGGAAACATAAAAATATATGGTAACAGCGAATTTAAATGATTTTTTATGTAATATTTGAATTTACATTATTTGCAAAGAGAAAGCAAGCAATTGTTAAACAATTTCGTCTGTGTTTACATGTAGAAAATCGAAAGGTATGCAGTATTCGTTTCTAACCATAAAGACACCCGCATTATCATCAAATATCGATTAATGCGAAGTATGTTTCTCTTAAAACTTAGTTGTTTCGAATTTGACTTTCTATTGTAAATAAATAATTCATTCCTTCAATGCTTAAAGAAAAGTAGGACTTGGCAATAAGTCCATCACTCATTCTGTCATCTATACGTCAATAGGTGTTATTTTCCCAACTAGCGACTAATACCTGTTGACAATTGTTTCAGTTCTTCTTTTGTTGAACTTTGAATCCATTCATTGGAGCTTAGAACGATACAAAGGGGTTGTTGCAGTAATAATTTTATTCGAGATAATATGTCACCAGATCCATTACCCTATTTGCATTTTGAGCATAATTATATCAACTTTAACAACCTGATTTGACTTTAAATTTGCCATTATTTATTTGCTTTGACATAAAAGGAAGGAAGTTTTTTCGAATAATGTAATATTATTTTGATTTATAGGTGCATAAATCTTAATTAATAATGTTAAATTTCTGTATATAAAATATATTTTTCGAATAATTCAAACAAAATGTAACCATGATTTGAAAATAAATTTATTATTCATTGATTCGGGATTTTATAACTTTATCCACAGAATTTTAAAATTAACTTTCTAATATTAATTTATTTATATATTAAAGTTTTTAAATTAAAATATAAAAATAAAAGAAAATTATTTTAGACGAAAGTAAACTTTTAATTTATATAAATCGCGTGTCTATCATTCACGCTCCAAAACTGATCGTTTCGACCATTTCAGGCATCAAGGTCAATAGAAACCGAGAAGATGCATAAGCTGTCTCGTTAGGAAAACTAAAATATAGTCTTTTAATCCTCAGACAATGTTTTATTGTTATCGGATAGTTTGCAGTTTTCTACTATAGAAAGATTCATTACTTTCGCTTGTTTAATCTTTTCATTAAACTAAGTTTGAGAAGTAAAGTATTTCTATAATCAATAATCTTGAGATATATATATAATTGAAAAGCCAGAATTATCAGAATAGAATTGTTTTTCTACTGTTAACTAGGTACTTAATTTTTAAAACTATATTTAGAAATTTATTTTCGATATTTTACAAGAGGATGAGTGATAAAAATATAATAATGAATGAATAAATATTAAAGGTCAATTTTATTTTAATAAACTGTTAAAAATAAATAGTCGTCTTTGCGATACAATTTTTTTTTATCATTATGAAACAAAACAATTAAACTTCATATGTATTAACTTAATCAAATCCTATAATAAACTTTCTTAGTTTTGTAGACAATTACACAGAAATCTTTAAATTTTAATCTTTAAATAAAAGGGCCTGTAACTGTGATGGATGAATAATTGGCATGGACATATGGGGACATTTTGGTTTAAAAGATAGAAGGGATGCCTAAATTTTACACAAATTAAAAGACAAGAACCAATTATTTATTTGCTATTACTAATACAGTAATTTGTTAACTTTTTTGCTTTCTGTCCAATTTTTTTTAATTCTTACTTTTCCCGTATTTCCCCCATTGTTTTGTCTGGATTTGGGAGGGCAGTTAGCCATTCACCCCCGACTCGTATGCCTAAGATAATTGAAAAGCAATCATTTATAAATTAGAATTCTATCGATTACATAAATGAAATTTTATTTCTATTTTGTTTACAATAAATAAAAACTTAAAATACGTGTTTAATATTTATGAATATTTCGATAATCTAATTTATATAAGCTATAAACAAACAACAAAAAAATAAGCTAGTAAATAAACCTTGATAACAACTTTAAAAAGCCTTTAAAATATTTGTTTACACGTTTTAACTCAATTATAAACATTATATAAAACACCCAAGTCTAACTTAAGTTATTCTTAATTTATACGTTACATCCAGAAATAATATAATAAGACATTCTTTTTATAGAACTACATTATTAGATTATATTTATTTTTATTATAGTTATAACAGAATAGGAAATATAAAAAAAGAAAGGAAATTTATATTCGTTACCTCGGAAATAAATTTTAACGAAAAATTCTTCATACACAGATGTTAAGTCTCAACGTTATACGATGAATTATGAGTACTATTAAGAAAATGGATTACAAAAATAACTAAAAAAAATAAATTATATATATATATATTTTTTAATTCTACGAATAATAGATTTTATAAATAATGTAAATGATGCTAATAATCCAACAGAAATAAAAAGGTTAAAGATTCTCTGTTTATTTATAAACAATAAATCTTTTATGTATTATAATAATTTATACCCACTAAAAATATTGATTTCTTAATATTAATAAATGTAGCTATAGGCCTAAATATAATTCTTTTTTAATTTTATTAATTAACAAAATAGTTTTTATTAATTTAAGATAAAACTTTTTCTTCTTTCATTTTTAACCTCGAATTAATTTCTTAATTAGGAGAAACTCTTTATGATTTCGAGCAATGGTTATTCTCCCATTATGTAACAATCAAATATTTTTATTTTCATAAAGTAAATTTAAAAAATCAAATGGATAAATAGCATTAATAAAATAAAGAAGGGGAAAAATATCACTTCAGAATCTCGACAGCATAAAAATATCGAAGATTAAAAAACGTCTTTTAATTAAAAAGATTTATTGATTAAACCAAGTAGACTCCTGCAATTAATTACTGTTTCATCCTATATATTGCCACTGCTTATTTTCGTCATCTGATCAATAGCGGTACATAAATGGCTAAATTCCT